ATGTCGGCATTCGTATTGTATATAAAAACTGATGCCGAGTGTGATCAGTTCTCATGAAATAAGAGGCACCTCATAAAATAAAATAAAACTGTTTGTAATAATATGAAAATGAATATAATTATTAAATTACAATTATTCTATGAAATTCTCAGTAGAATAACTATAGCACGTGGCATAAAATGGAACACGCTACGTTTGAATGACATCGAAGTAAAACTTATACATAAGTACACCGTCATCAATATTGATTTTAAGTAAAGCTAGGTTTACACGCTACGATGGATCGTAATTATATGATTGACAGTTTATTGCCATTTTTATTCAAATTGATTCTAATTCGTTCAAATCGATCGAAAAGCGACTACTGTTTAGAAGCTATGATGTCTTCTATATTTCCTGTTGATTGCGGTTCACTCAGACTACTGATGTGCCGTGGGTAAATACCCGACTGGTAGGTAAATATTTTTTTTTTTACTGTCAAACATAGTTATTTTTATTAAATAAATTTAATTTTAAAATTTGAAGTGTTTTAGTTAGTTTTTAAATTCTTAGATTTATTTGTTTTACCATTAAAAGTGTTATCGGTTTCAAAGTGAATAAAATTAACAAAAACTTCATAAATATAATTTACATATGTACTCTAATCATCAGTCTTGGAAAAACATGAAAAAGTCAAAAAACAATCATAAAAAAGTATTGTGATATCTATGGATTGGTTTTAGTATTAGAAATAAATTTGTCCAATTTATTGGGTAGATACCCAGTAAATACCGGGTAATTTATGGGTGGCATGACTATTTTTACTCAATAGTCTGAAAACGGTTGAATACTTTTCCCGAGAACGGTGGGACCCCTATCAAAAGTTAATACCGAGATAAATATTAAGGTCTCATCTAAAAATTCTTTGAAATTTATATTTTTTTTTTTTTTTAAATTCCTTGAACTTATTATTGAATGCGATGTTTTACAAAAAAATTTTTCTGGTCTTGAAAATCAAAATTAACTTAATTGGGATAAACGAAAAAGTAATACGTTAATTTCAAGTTAATTTGCAAGGAAATAAGTTAAATTAATTAGTAAATTTAACTTAAATTTTAACTTATTAACTCCTAGGCTTGAAAACAAGATATACTTACAAAGTACTACAGACTGGTATCTTAATTACTTACAAACGTGAGTCGGTAATTACCGTGGATTATTATGGATTGTCTATTGAGCATACATTATTGTATGCAACTGCATGCATATGCATTTTGCAATCAATATCAATTTTAAAATAATATCAAAATGCACAAAACTGTGTACAATATTTATATTATTGAAAATATTTTACTTACCACGTGCATGACTCGCCTCGATACAACTACCCAACATATCAATATTCATGAAGAATTAAAATTTTAAAATATTGTATTATTATTGTAAATAGTTTTAAATTTTTAATTTACCTATGGCTAATGTTACTTAATCATTAGCCGATAACGGTTAGATAATGTTGGTTTTATTGGCTAGTGTTAAGATTATCCAATTGTTTTTGGCGGCTGAAGTCCGTAATTTTGACATTAGCCAAAAGCATTTTCTAAGCTTAAGATTAACCGGCTAATTTTAATATTAGCCGTCCTTCGGACCTTTTCCGTAACATATACATGTAGTACGAACTCATTTGCAAGACTTCTAACGAAATCGATATTAAATACGAATAGTTTACCAATATACAGTACTATTTATAATCAACGATATTCGATATAATAGGTATATTAGGTAAATATATTAATCGAAAAATCGAACATAGTCATGCAGTAACGTGTGTACATTGCAACGATCTTTTGTTATTAATGTTACAGTCACTGTGTATCAATTATTTTTATTTAAATTGTTGTAAGTCGTTAGTATTATTACTTTTATTGTTCTTTTTAAAATGCCTAAAAGGAAATATAAGTTCACTGTATCTTTGCAGATTAACTAAGGCAGTAATAGAAAGAAATTTTCAATCACACATATTTTATGGACGAACGAAAAAAATCGGCTTCTCGTACCAACTGTCAAAGCAATAATAATTCTTAAAAATAATTTTAAAAAATATTCCTATAATGATTTTTATGATTTTTTGTTAACACAACCAAAACTATTACATGCAATCAGTTCATCAAAAAAATATAATGTCAAAGGATGTAATGAAGAAAATTATGAACAATCGACATTAATTCAATAAAAATAAAGAATATTTTAAGTAGTTTTTTTCAATCTCACAACAAAAAAAGAATGCAAATCGATGTCTTATTAAAATATTAAACTAATTAAAAATTATTTTTATTGCATATAATATAGAAGTTAAAAAAATATATAGGATAGAAGTCAACTTCCGTTGATGTGGAGAAGTCATTAAGCCGTTATAAATAAATATATATTTAAATATTTTTAATTTTTTACTAAATTTAAATCCGTTCCTTAATAATTAGTATAATAATGCAATACCTATAACAACTATGATTGAGAAATAAACAATTGTATGAAAAAATAACTATTTATATATAATAATTAAATGATTTAAATATGGTTACGCAATCATCAATTAATTTAACACTATTCATATCACTTTCAGATACATACCAACACATGTTGCATTCGAGACAATGAAATTTTTGTTATTTGCATAGGTTACCAATTATTGAAATTCACATAAAATGTATTAATTTATTTATTGGTCCTTACTTTAAAAAGTGTAGAACCTGAGTAAAATTTAACTGTTATTTAAAGAAATGCTAAAAAAAAAGGGAGAATTTTTCTCAGTCCAATTTGAATGTTGCTGTTGAAGAAGTAGTCAATGAAGGCATGTCAAAAAAGTCTGCAGCAAAAAATTTTTCTGTATCAAGATCTACATCATAATACAAACTTCAAAATACTGATCAAAAAGTTTTATATGGAATAGCTCCTGTATTATCCGTATCTGTATTTTATATGTTGGACTTAAAAGAGTGATAAAAGATAAAACTGTTTTAATTATAACTAAATAAATATTTAAAACATTGAAATATATTTTATTATTTCTTCTTATTATAATCAAATACTTTAACTAAATTATTATGTACTTACATTATAATAGGTACCTGCCTATTATAGTTGTTTAGCATAATAATTATTACCTACTGCCAGATGTACTAATTTTAGTTTTTATAATAGGTATCTATTTGACTCCTAACCACAATACAGTACTACATATTGTGATTAAATAAAATGTTATGATTTTTAGAATAAGTTACCTGTTTGAAACATATAGGTAGTTAAAAAATAAGTTATAAAATATATTTACAACACAATTAGTTCATTAGTTATTTTATTAAGAATCATAAACTAAATATGTATAATTTTTCTACAGTTACCTATGTGTAGTTTAAACTTGGTTTGGTACTTATATGTTTTATTTAATTATTATTCATTTTACCTAAGTAGTAGCTACTATCTAGCTATAAAATAGTATAAGTAGGCAGTTTTATTTATTAATTTAACCAAATTAATCGGTAAAACTATTAAATTACATATATAATTTAAGAGGATGCCAATAACAGAAATTATAAAACCAATAACACAATTGTAGGTTCCAATAACTATAATTTTCGATTATTTTATACTTGATGGTAAATAAAAAAAAAATATTTAATATTTATGTAGGATAATGATCATAAGGTAAGATTGATAACAATTTGCTTCATCATTGAAAATGATAATACAAGTTTCAACAATGTTTAAGTGTGAAATATCATAAAAACAAATATAAACATTTCTAAAGGATGCCAATAACTGTACACTTTACCCTATACCATAGTCGAGCTAAAATGTATAGCTAACTGCAAGCTAATAAAAATAAAAAAAAGGTAAAGAATAATCACAAATTGTAGGTTTAAAAATGTTCCCAACTAAAAATATCAAAGACACAAAGTACATAAAATTAAAAATGATATGCATTTAAGTAAATAAAAAAAAAACCAAATATTTTATTAATACAATTATAAATATTATTATTCATACAATTAATCACTACATTACAATTATTTTATTATTATCAACAGTTTGATAATCAACTTCAGGAAAGTAAAAATTTCTGTATACAATTATATAATAAGTCTATTTGACAAAAATCAAATATAGATATAAAATAAATTACAAAACACATGAATTTTAAAACTATTGATATTTCTATTGATATAGGTACTCAAAAGATCATAAACATTAATTTTTCATGTCTCTTATTTCTAGAACATTTTTAAAAACGTAGTATTAATTACTGAAATGCTCTACTTACTTTATAATTGTATATTATAATTTATAAATAATATTGCCAATGTTCATAAAATATTATTTCTAAATATTAAAAATAGATTTAAATTTTATTTATTTCAGATACCATTTTTACCATATATTTATTTATTTTTAATTAAAAAATAAACATATATTTAATTTGAATATAAAAAATATTTAATAGAAAATAACATAATTTACAAACATAGTTAAGAATATAATACAATATAGTTTTAAAATATTTTTTTAAAAAATTAAAACTAAGCAACTTAAATTAGTTATATGATTAACCGATAAGGAATAAACATTATATAAATAATAATTAAAATGTAGGTAACTAAAACAAAACAAAATTATGTAAATATATACATTTTTACTAACCACGTTAACACAAATTAAAAATGCATGTTTAAATAACCTGTTTATTCTATAATGAATTTAATTTAAAAAAAATAAATGCGGCTGAAATCAATTATTAATTGATATTACTTACTTAGAATAGTAAAATCAAAGTTTTATGTTATTATTGAATATAATATTACTTCTGTTCTTACTAAATTATTTTAAATAATTGTAATTTAAAGTTTAACTCATAAAAATGATAACTTACATTTTATGATAAATTTGATATTAAATAACAATATAAGATAACAATACAATAATATATATATATATATATATATATATATATGTATGTATTAAATTGCACACCAATACTATATCCCACTTAATTTCAAAGGCAAACAAAGATTATAAAATGTATCTTTTTTCCAAAATGATGCTTCTTTCCAGTAAACCCCTTTACCATGAATACTTTTAATATTGTCTGATCCTGTGTAGTGAGGATCTAAAACCAAAAACTTAACTAAACCTTTATCTTCGTTGATATCAACACCTAAAAGAGTATGTGCAAGAACTCCTCCACCTAAAAAATAATATTGTATAATTTAACCATTAAAATTTTTTTATACAAAAATTATATACCTATCATAACAGGAGTGCCATGTCTATCAAAGTGTTCAGCTAACTCCAGACACACTGAATTTAATGTATCACCTTGCCTTAAAGACATTATACGACATGTAACACCTAAATCTGCATCTAATACAAAAGAAACTTCCATTGAACCAATCCAATCATTAGAACCAACAAAATCTTTATTTTTATCACCCAAATCAACTAGAATTTGTTGAATATCACAAATAGAAGGTACAGATTTATTAGTCCATCCTTGCCACCTATAAAAATAAAAATATATAAAAAATAATAATAGTTATAACAATAAAGTAATAATTAATTTTGTTGAATCTAAAATGTTTTAAAGGGATTCATTTTTTGAAATCCAAAGACATAAAAAAAACTTCTTTGAGTTTAACTCATTATTATAGTCTTTACACAAATATTAAATATTTATTTTTTCTATTTATTATTTATTATTATTAATATTGCTTTTCTTAATGTTATTTTTTAATCTTTAATCATTATTAAATACTATACAATACAAAAAATGTAAGTTAACTAATTAAATAGTATTAATTTAATTCAAAAATGTTATAAAAATTTCTTATAAAAAAATATGAAATTAAAAAAAAATAGAAATAAAAATATTAAATAATACATACTTGAACCAAGAATATAATGTTTGTAAAGATCTGTAAGCACATCCCCACTGGTGATCATTAAAACCGCCATGGCCATAGTGATAAAAGGTATATGTACCCTTAACTATTGAGATTTGTCCATCTTTTACTACAATTATAAATTGATTAGTTAATCAACTTAATATTTTTAAAAAAACTACACTTTAACATATAATGAAATTATTGACATTATAAATATTATGCGTCTAATAATAAATTTTATTAACAAAATCTATCATTAATTTTTAATAACAAAGAACACATATTTTCTACTTTTTCATAAATATAATTTTCAACATTCCCACAAATAACTTTAATAAAATCTTATTAAATATAATATTAAGAATATTTTGCATATAGTTAAATTGTATTGAAGTTTCTCCTCAGTTTCTTCATCACTTAATTAATCCATTTATTTTATATTGCTTTCATTTTATTCCTATTAATATTTGCATCTCCACATCCCCTTATTTTTAAATAATCCATTCTTCTGAGCAATTCTTGTAACTCTTCCTCTTTTTCGAAGCCCAAGGTACTGTTGTAGCCTAAATTTACAGTTTTCAAGTAATACATACTTTATACCAACTTTATACACTATCGTTTTAAACTATCTGATTATATAAATAAAACATTAATTTATAAAACTTACTTCCGGAAGAAGGTAGACCCTCATGTACATTTGTTAAGAGACCATCATCATTTATAACTGGTTTGCTATCAAATTGATAAGCATTTGATATACGAAATAAAGGTCTATCCATAGACAAATAAAAAGCATTATGCAATTTTTTTCTTAAATTACCTATAAATACAAAATTTATTATTCAAAATCAAAAAATATAACATTTAATATTATATGTAAATGCCTCATATACTATCTACTGGTAACAATAATTATATACCAAAAATTCAAAAATATGAATTATGATGTTGTCAGTCACACCATTTCAGATGACTTCCCAAATAACTATGTAAAGTTATAAATAATAACTATTACCTCAAATATAAAATGATATTAAATAATTTATTAAAATATCATAAACTAAATTAAAAAAAGGAAAAATGCTACATAATTATAAAATCATAAATTAAATATTTGAGTTAACATAAAAATATTATATTAAATTGATAACAATTAAAGATTATAATCTAAATTATCAGCTATAGGTAATTATTGTAAAAGATTAATACAACACCCAGTAGATAGAATACAAAATATAAGTAGTATAATTAGTATTGTTTTACATACTATAAGAATCAATTTGATTATGTGAACAAACAATCGTTAAAAAATGGCACAATGTATCAGGTAAAAAATGATGTACAACAGGTAGATCCGTAGGGTTTGAAACCAAAAATGATTGAATTAGTTTAACATTTTTTAAAATACTACCATAGAGTAGATTGTATGCATAAGAATAAGTAGACTTCTTGGGAATCAAACATAAAGAATCTAACTGACAGCAAACAAGTTCTTCATCAAAAGGTTCTAAAAAATAAAAGTATAAATAAATAACACAATTATTATAATTTTATTTTAGACTTAAATCTAAAACTGTAGTATTAGTGCCAACCATTTGTTTGATGAATTATAGGAAAATCAGATATATCTGAATTTTCTGATTGTGCCCTGGATAAATTTTGATATACAGATACATTTAAGACTTCACAATCTAACTTGTTGGTTTTTACTTTTAGTTCATCAATAGTTTTATTATTTTCTAATTTACTCAAATATTGTTTGCAATCTTTAACATAAAAAAGAGGTTTTGAACCAATCTGAAACAAAACCATTATTCTTAAATTATTCAATTTTTATTAAATGGTAAAATAAATTTTACATTTATAAATTTAAATGATTTGAGTCAAATAATCTAAAACTATATTAACCATAATTGTTTCAAAAAACAACATGTAAATTTATTTTATTTTATTTCTTTGGACATATACCTTTTTTTCTAATAAAGCCTCAATATAAGATGAATCACAGTCGTTTATTTGTCTGTCTAATTCCAATTTCATACAAGTTCTAAAATATAATAAATGCTTGTTTAAACCCTCTTTAGTTTCGACTATAAGCTCGAGGTTTTCAAATTCAATAGCATCATCAAATTTTTCTAACTTCCAAACTTGTACTTTTGAATCAAATATATTCAAATAAAGTATTTCTTTCTTCTTGAGTTGATCCTAAAATTATGTTTAATACATTAGCAATAGAACAAAACCTAAATTCAATTAACATACATCAAGTAAATGCTCTTGGACATTTTTAATTTGCTCAATCTTTCCTGCCATACCACAGGGAGTCAGATTATGAGGGCAGTTATCTTCAATATTGAAAGATGAGTTCACAAAACCCAATATATATGTAGTGAATAATTTTCCCACTATAACATTAACACCCAGTAAAGTAAATTCGTCAATTTTCGATGCACCATTTTTCTGTAAGGCCTATGGAACACATTAATTATTATCATTTAAGCAGTTGATTTTGATTCTAGCCTAATGTAATTTCGATATTCAAATACATCTACTTTCAACTTCAGTTTTTATGTGTAACAAATTAAAAACAATACCTGCAACACTTCTTGACAAATGACTACTTCACGACGAACTGCGTCCATTGTGTTTATGAAAGAGAATACAAAATTACTTAAATAGAACGAATTCCGGATTAATTTGATATAACATAGTAAATGACGAACACGTCACCTGGAGTATGTACATTTTACCGAACTAGAGGTGTTATCATTTAAATTGTATAGATATTATCACACTATTTATCAAAATCATGGACCATGATCAAAACAAGGACCTCATACTGAGCTATCGAGATAGATAAGCAAATAAGCAATATTGTTTATCTATCTGGATGTACTGAGCATAAGGTCCATGGATCAAAATCACAATATCTAGATAATATTATCTACAACACTACACAGAGTTAAATACTCGTACGTGGAAAATATGTAAATTTATGGTTGATTAACGAAATGATTCTAAACAAATTTACACATTATTTATCCATAATATATTTTTAATAATTTAAAATATCCTTGTAAATATTCTTTGTAAAGCCAATGGCCCTAGCCGCCGAGACAGTTATTTTCAATAAAAAAATTTAAACATGTTCTTTAATTTATTCAAATTTAATTCATATGAAAAACAAACACTCTCAATTGGATAATTTTAAAGATAGAAAAAAACTTTATAAATCAAAGTTGTTTTAAAAAATTAATATAATCCAATTATAAACTTAATAATAGAGGTTGTTATTTAAAAAAGTTTATTTTACTGCGCTTGCGCGGATGGAAAATGGTAAAAATTTGAATTTTTCAAAAATAAGTGTAAATTCGTTTTTTTACAGAAAAAAAAACCTGAATTATATACAAGGTGATGCGTTGTAAATATTTTATTTACCTTTATCGTTGAACACAATGTATACGAAGCAAGGCATGGAGAACGTTAATACATTAAATGTACTAAACCCAAAAAGTTTCCCAGTTCTTTTTTTAAACTTTCTTTGTCTTCACGAAATGCAATACAGTTTTTTGCAACTAAAAAAGTAATTTCAATCAAATCTTGAACTATTTATTTGTTAATAAATTTGTTTTTTCCGTATTTTTCTTCTAATAAAGGTTATAAGGGTAAAAAAACTTTTTAATTTTAATTTAAAGGAAGTTTCAATACGTGCTTCTGGATATTTATGAATTCACATAGGTACTTGACAAAGCTCTCTGTCACGAAACAACTCCATTTACAGTCCATGCTTTGTTAATATTGCATCGAAACAATACACAATGATGACAAAACATTTTATCACTTGAGACAGAATAACTGATTTACATTATAATATATTTTCATTGTTCCGGATAGGCATTTTAAAATAAAAATACCTACTTATTAAATATAACATACTATCGTTTTGTTTTAATAACTAGGCAGGTACTCAAATACAAATACTTCATAAATATAAATGTATATACCTACATTTTTTTATAATAATAATATCGTTTTTCTATAAACTCTTATAATTAATGAATTAATTATTATTTATTGTCCATTTTGTAATCCATCCACCCATATTTAAGGTGTTGCTTGAACAACACTTAGACCCTAAGTTACACACCACTGGTCAAGAGCGTCAATCTTTGAAAATCTAAGGAGGACATTGTGTTTTTAATGATATTGACTACATCTCTATCAATTAGTTTTTTATATTTTATTATTTACCGGTACATTTTAATTAAATTCATACAAATGTATAATAAAATTTTAAAAATGTAACATAGACATTATACTTAATTCTTTAATTTATTAACAAAACAGATATCTATTAACAAAGATAAAAAACATAAAAAAATATTTTTATAATGTATTAAATGTATATAAATATGCATAAGATAGGTAATATGTTTGTATATATTAAATTGCATTATGTTACTAAAAATGATATGATTTAATCTTAAAACATGAATTGTAAATTGCGTTTATTTTTTAAAAATATGTTGACAACATTATTAACTTAATATAAATCTTAAATTTTCTGTATATGTATACTAGAAATCTTAACCATGTTTTTACCCAGCAAAGTATATTAAATAATACATTTCTTGATTAATCGAAACAATTCACAATCCTTTAGATAGTATAAAATATTATACTCATCATTAATTTTAGTAAAATTGTCAGTAATATTCCAATAATCATGCCATGTTTTACCTTCTTCAATACGATAATTGTTTTTGTATAAATTATACACTTTATCTAACGTATATAGAAAGTAGCGTTTATTTAATTTTATCATTTCTGATGGATATAGTTAGTTTAAATGGAGTTTGGTTTGTAAGAAACGCGATTCTAAATAATTAATTAAGGATTCCAAAAAATAGCAAAAAACCTGAAGCACTTATTAATTTTGTAGAAAAGAATGAACTTTAATCTAAAAACCAATTTAGTTTTAGACCAGGAAGAAGCATATAACATTGCTGCATGGTACACTAACGAAGAGTTTGGTAAACATTTTGTTGATTATTTAGGTCCCACTATGTTCAACTCACTTTCATTGAATGTTAAAAAATGTATATATAATATTGTTAATAAAGCACAAGGCTATCTATGTAATAAAATAATTGTATTTGCATATTTGTTAGAACTAAAACAAAAAAAAAAACAACACTTAAGGTCAGTTCAAACAGAAAGCGGACTGTCAGCGCGGCCAGGCCGCCGGTTCGCTGATAGTCAAACAGAATGCGGGCAAGTTTGAGCGAACCAGTTTGAAAACTGCACGTTAACTGCAAGTGTACTGCTGGTTATTTTTTATTTCTACTTTTTCAGTTTTCTGTTTTCATATTACAAAATGTCAAGCAGTTCTTCCGACGAGGAAGAATTGCTTCTTCTGCTTGCCTTAAGTCAAGCAAAAAGAAAAAAAAGAAAATGGGTACATGAAATAAACCAAAAAAGAAATGAATTCAGGGAGTTTCACTGACTGTGCAGTGAATTGAGTTCTTTTGAAGATCGATTTTTTATATATTTTCGAATATTCCAGAAGTGCTGATACGTGTAGAATATTCAGTGTATTGTCTACTAATTGGAGATTATGATTAGATTTCAAGTTATTATTATTATTAGAGTATAAACGTATAGTAGTAATATTATGTTATCTTATTAATATATTAGTATAATATATTATAAAATATAATATATTTCTTTTCTATTCTATTTATGTATACATTTTATTTGAGTCCGCCGTGGTAGGCCGCTGTCTGTTTAACCAGAGTGATGCATTGAAATGGAGTACACAGTTCGCAGCGGACCGGCGGCCTGGCCGCGCGGACAGTCCGCTTTCTGTTTGACCGGACCTTTAGTGTATAATTATTTTAAGTAATAGTTTAAGTAACTTTAATTGTAATAATTATTATTTTAAATTATTATTAAAGTATTACTATATGTTGTAAATTATTTACCTCATCACAAGCTTTACTTAGAGAGATTAGTTAATCAAAAATTATTGTTAACTATAATTATTATTATATGTTTGTAATTAATTGATAAGAAAATTAAATAAATTCCTCGGATAATTTAACATTATGATTTGACCGATTTGTTTGTTGATTCAAAAGTCATGAAATTGTTATCTTAATGTCTAAAGCACAGGTAATATTTTTTAATGTTTTAAAAATATTATGGTAATGTGTATTGACTTAAGTTCTATTCATTCTAAGAATTGACGGTAATTCCATTAAATTGAAATAATTTAAACCCCAAAATAACAAGAACAAATACTTAAATTTATTCATAGGTACTAAAAGACAGTATTATTAATCGATATATTTATAAAAAATTAAATTGTGGAACCAAATACATAATTATGTGTTGTTGGATTTTTTAAGTTTAATATTTATTAAAACTGTACACAATTTAATAGTAGATTGATTATTAATAATTAATAATAATTGTAAAGAATATTTTTATAATAACTAATCTATACAGTTCAACAATTATATATATATTTATGTGATGATTTTTTTCAAAATTATAAACAATTCATTTTACAAAATTAACATTATACATTACTTTGTTTTTAAAACTGTTACCCAAATAAATAAAATTCAAAGGTCATACTACATTTTTAGAACAAACTATATTCATATATATATATATATAAATTTAATTACACAATTATACTACAGATATTACAAAAGATCAAAAAAAAAAAAAAAAACAACAATAATATTGTTTTGCTATTAAAATATCACAGATACAAAAAAAATACGACCAATCAGCCTTATAAATTAATACAATGAATACTTGCAGAGCTAACACATCACAATGGCTGCAAGTATTTTACTTCATCTCAACTAGTTGATGAATGAATAGAATGTTGCTGGTACATTTGAATTTGTGGGGCTGGATATTGTACCAGCATGATCTGAGACATAGGAGTAGCCTGGACTTGTTGATTAGGTGTTTGTTGTTGTTGTTGTTGTTGCTGTTGTTGCTGCTGTTGTTGTTGTTGCTGCTGTTGTTGTTGTTGTTGTTGCTGCTGCTGTTGTTGTTGTTGCTGCTGCTGCTGCTGTTGTTGTTGCTGCTGCTGCTGTTGTTGTTGCAAATGTGGTTGTTCACCTTGAGTGTCTGAATCAATCATATCATCACAATCATCATCTGGATGTCCAGCTCCATATTTTACTCTTTTAAAACGACCATACAACGAAGAATATGGTAGATTATAATGTATAGCTGCTTGATTAATACTCATATGACCTAAACGTACAGATTCCAAAGCTTCCATCATTGCATCTTCAGACCATGGTGTTGGATTACTACGAGACAATTCAATTTTTTCACGTTTACACCGTCCATATAATGTACCAGAGGGTATACCATAGTCGGCTGCAGCTCGTTGTACAGTTGTTTGCCCAGTTCGTATTGCATGCAATGCTTGTTCTAACTGCTCCTGACCCCAAGATGTTGGTGCGGCATTAAAAGGAGCAGCTAAACGAATACCTTCCCGTCTTGCAATTTTATATAAAGTACTACTAGGAATGCCATAAGCTTTACTAGCTTTATTTGCTGAAATAGAGCCAGTACGTAGAGCATCTAATGCAATATTCAAGGCTTCATCATTCCAAGACTTAGCAGGTCCATCTTTCTTAGGAGTATCTATACCAGCTCGATGAGCTCGCTGCCATAACGTTGTAGAAGGAATTCCAAATGTTATGGATGCTTTGGTTAAAGACATATTATGAGACCGTAATGCTTCTAAAGCATTCTCCATATCATCAGCTGTCCATCCTTTGCCACCATTTGCACCATAATGTTTATTTATATTATTAGAACTATCTTCGCTGATATCTATTATTAAATAATTTACAATAAGTGATTTATAAGTAATAATTAAACTACTTGATGTTTATAAAAAGCAATATGTATTTCAAAGTGATTGATCAAAGTGAACCTTTTTTTTACTATACTATAATATTTACTATACTCAAGAAAAAATTCATAAATTTTATATTTTATATACTATCACAAACTTTTCCATATTTATACTTAAAAGAATAATATTATTCATTAAATCTCTTTCAAAACTTTAATTTTTCAAATAGCAACTTTTAATTATTTAAATCTTCAGATTTATTAATGGATAAACATTTCATTAATTATATAATATACATAATATAACTATCATTAAGTTTACTTTAGAATAAAAAGGCAAATCTGAAAATGGATAGAAACAAATCTATCTGTTTAACAAGTATTCATATGATACAATAATAATCTGTTGATTTTATTTTTATATATTAAAATTATAAGTGACTGTTCAAAAATTATCTTAACATTGCTACAATAAAATAAATAAATTAGATGACTGAAGTAATGAAAAAATATGGAATATTAAATGGATATAACTTTACGTTTTAAAAAAAGATTATTTAAATATTTTCCTACAAATTATATTAGAAAAATCACCCTTATGTTATATAATAAATTGTAAGTACCTCCTGTACTTGATGAATTTGGTAACAAGCCTAATAATTCAGGTGTTATCATCATGGTATGCATTGAATTATCTTCTTCATTTATATTCTAAAAATAAAAATGTATAATATTAATAATATAATTAGTTTATACTCTATAATTAATTACTACTACATGATCACTTGAATGTTGTCTATCTATTCCAATTGCATCTGACGATTGATCAATAGTACGAAGTGTTTCAAATTTAGTATTTTCAAATTTTACTTCACTTACATCATTTGAACATGAGGTACCAACTAAAATAAAACAAAAAAATGATGAAATGTTTACTTTAATAAATTAAATTTGAAACATATTTATAAGAATTAACTTGATATTGGTTTTTATAATCCTAATAAATTTATATTATATTTAATAAAAAACTATAGAATTAGAAAAAAAATTGTTAACTATATACCAACAAACTACATGCATCATAAATATAATTTGAAAAATATCTACACTACAGTTGTGTTTTATCTATTTTAATCTTTGATAATCTCCATTTAAATCAAATATAAACACATTGATATTATTAAATGAATTATCTAAACATACGTTTTAACTTTTTACAATAGACTTTTTATATTAATTTTTAAAAACTGTTATTGTCTAGCCTCAAAAAGAATTCAAAAGAAGCTTTGTCGTAAGTTAATAAAAATAATGTTGTACTAATAACCTTTTAAAATTATTTTCTACACTCAAAAATCAATATTCTACATTTAATGAGGTAATAATTTTTACCAGCTAATGGTAAAATATAATGATAACATACTAATATTATTAACCTTTTATTTATTTTAATTTTCTGTACATATAAAAACTAAATAATATTGGCACTTTTTCTCATTACAAAAGAAGAGCCAATACTATAAAAATATTATTTGTTATTATATTATTTGTATAATTATAAACATATTGAATGTAAAAAATTCTAAAATATATATAATCTTAGATACATATTTATAAAAATAAATAAAGCATTGGTTTTTGTTTGTATCTCTTCCCTATCATGAAAACCTATGTAAAATGGGTACTAAAATTATGAAAAAATAAAAACTCAAATATTATGATATTATAACTACTGCATCTTAGTTTAAAGTTTAAAAATATAAAAAATTGATCAATTTAAAAAACAAAAAATAGTTATACTGTAAAAAAATTCCTACCAGCCATATCTCTATGCGTAGGTGTTGAAGGGGGACTAATATTATTTTTTACTGATACTGGTGTTGCTCTTGGTCCAACAGGTTGTATGTCAGGCGTAATATCACCTTCGTTAACTGTCATAACTGAACCACTTGTGATAAGCATCTAAAATAATGTATAAATAAAAAATAAATCTTAAAAGTATATAAAATATTGTTGTGTTACTTGAGAATGAGTTTGAACAGCAGTTTGTTGCAACTGTGATTGGTTTGAGTGTTGAGTTACATGATTCAATTGTTGTTGTGATATAGGTATATGAACAATCTGGGGTTGTTGCTGGGTCTGCAAATTTAATGCAGGATGTGGCTCTAAAATGACAACCGGTAAATCAGTAAGTGTTGATTTCATCTCTTTTTCATCATCTTCAGTTGATGTAGCTACAGTCATGCAGTGAATAGACTGGAAATAATGCAAACAAATTTAGTCTTTAATAAAAAAATATTATTACTCATTTGATAATATTTACACTCATAGATTTGTTCTCTTGATCAACATTAATGGGTGCAAATCCAGATTGTTCAATTCGATAATAACTTCGATTGAATTGATCTTGCTGCATATGATTTGGACTCATTTTTTTTGAATAAGGTGAAATTCTGCGTTGTAATTTTGTGAAAACTCGTCCTCCACTTTTCATTGGTCCCAAAGGAGTTACTTCAGCAACAATAGATGTATCACGTTCATCTTCAGGCACTTCACACAATCCTTTAATTTTCAGCTGGTCAGCTGTCTTTAGAAGTGACTGAAATTACAATTATATCAATCATCCGATAACATAATCTATTTAATTTCACTCAAAACTTACTTGTAATTCAGCTTGTGATACATCAATTTCACCCCTATAGACAAACTCAATAATGAACTTAAGATCATTAAAACAAATGTCATAGGGCAATATTATCGTAGGATGCTTGCATGGGTTATCCATTAATAGTTTTTGAAAGTATGACGAACAAGCAGATAAGACTACCTATAACACAATTATATGTAAAAATATTGTAATCAGAAAAAATATATAAGTATTATAAAAGTTTACTTTGTGAGCTTTTAATGTACTCTCATTACAAGCAAGCGTAACATCAACAAATGATTCATTCCGTAAAAGTTGATGAAATACAGAAGTCATGTTTGATTGGTAATTATTCCAGCGGAGACAGTAATGTTGGCCATTTACTGTCATTGTACCTCTAAAATTAAATTAAACTTACATTTTTAAAATTATATAATACATTATATACTTCTAAATTATAATACTAAAAATAATATTAGTCATGTATGAAGATACAAAACAAAATCATGTAAAATATACCTAGTAATAAATGACAAACTTAATGAAATTAATTAATACCACTATTATCTGTACCAAATTTTAGTTAAGTTTTTATTTTAAATGTAATTTATTATTTCAATTAAAACCTAGATACATTTTTTAAAAACTGATAGTAATACATTTAAAATTAAAATATGCAGAGAATTTGGATTCTAAATGTATATTATAGTTTAGACAAATATCCGTTGATTTCAAATTCTCAAATTCATATTTTAAAATAAAATATATTTTTTCAAAAACGATCCGTATTTGGATTTAAAAAAAAAATAATTTATTATTTTAACTTATTAAATTATAAATAAATACACGACTTGATCGTGAAAATACTCGATTAAAAATTAACTTTTTTATATGTTTATATTACCTATATTAGCCGTTTTTATTTTAAACTTGTAATTCATTAATAGTTATACATCTACGTATTAAAATATACATATATTTTTTGAATTATTCAATACGAAAAATTTTTTAAGCCGCTCATAAATGCTGATATCAATAGTACAATTCAATCATTCAGGAAGCACAAATATTCTTAATTTAAAAATCAATACCATGTAACCACCCGAAAATCCCACTCGAATGAGATATCAACCACATTACGCCATTAAAACGTGAACATTACCTAAGTATAGGGTGTGTTCCACAATCATTAATTCAATACCTAATCTTATTCACAAGTAAAATAAATATGGAATACAAATTTATACAAATTTGTTGTTATAAGCAATTAACGATTGAATAATATATTAAGTACAGAAATAGTTATTGTTACAATTGTAATACTTATCAATTAAAAAAAAAAAAATTATAGTAAACAATTTAATCGATTAATACTATAAAACACATTAAATATTTGAAGGAAAACCATTTTAAGTTCAAACCAAGTAAATGTAATTCATAATTATGGGTATTATTTGATTTGATATCAACAAAGGATAAATGGGTTTCGAAAAATGCCTTCTCATAATAAAATCAGTTCCATAAACAAACATTTATACAATGGACAATGCATAAAAATAAATCGGCCATTCCGGAAACCAGCAATGAATGTTTTCTGCTATAGGAATTAAAGTGTAAAAAATGTTTAGTACACAATCGCAACTGTATAACGGAATCAGACCCGTGACCAATTATATTCACGACATACAAGCCTATTCGTTGATATCGAAAATGTAATGAAATTTTTTCGAAAATAATTTATTAATAACCGCCAAACCATAGTGTTAAACGTACAAAGAACCCATAAGAGTTAAATATAACATGATTTCATTTGTCTCACGCGCGAAACGAATGCCTTGATCAGGACTCCTGTGTGGTACAAATGGTACGCGATAAACGTCAATGGTACTGGTCGGAGTCATTGTGGGTGTCGTATAAAACAAACGGAAAAAATAGTTTATGGAAAACATAGAACCTTTGTGTTGCTGGGTGTTGGAACGGTAGAAGACATCATTAAAACGATTTATAAAAGAAATCATTTATCAAATGTCTTCGTAACTTGCGCAGTATTTATTCGGAGGGCGAGTGAGGAATTGTTGTACTATACGCACGGACCAAAGAAAAGGTCGATAATATGTTCATAAGCAGCTGCATATGTAAACGTGACAGTTGTTTTTCCAAACACGGAGCGATTACATTACACGATTGAGCACGTCTGTTCGGGTCTCAGCTGCTTTTACTCGAAGAGTTTCGATCGTTTCGACATCATCGCATCGTAACATTCTAATAATAATAATTTAGGCGTGAAAAGTCATCAAGAGGGATGTGTTTCCGAAAGCGCGCAGGGATGTGTCGGAAGAGCACACGGTTCTAGCAAGACGGAATCTATGGCGGGCGGATGCGATAATAATATCACTACCGTCGTACTGAAACGAAGGGAAAATGTAGAACTAATGCGATAAATTCGCGGAAACCCAGGCTTGGCCCCTGCAGAGAATTCGATCGATTTCAAGACCGGGTCAGAAGAACGACGTTGGTCATGGTTCGTCAAGCGTTGGTAGTGAATCGGCAAAGAATGGTGGGGGGGGCAAGATTCGAAGGAGACGCGAAATTTAAGGACGGAAACGCGCGATAATGTCAACGGCGCGTGGTGTTCCACACACGAGACACCGAAGACAACGACGAGACGGTTGTGATGAAATTGGTGGGAAGCGCAAGTGACGAGAACCGGCGGCAAATGAACGCGCAAGCTTGTGCGTGCGGTTAGTGGTTTTCCTGTGGTCGAGCGAAAACCAAGTTACTAAGACTCGGCGCTTAGGTTCGCGTGCCATGAAGACCCCCGGACCGAACGTGACGGAGGAAATCGACCGATATAAGGAAAAATTATCATGCGGTACGGTGGTCACACGATGGACGCCGGTATAAGCTGCCGCGATGGTCGAGTTAAGACGCGGCAACGACGACGTTAATAGCAATAGCGAAGAATGTAGCGCATAGCGATTGTCCGTGATAGGAGTGAGGGCGGTGCGGGATGGCGGTCGGCCAGTGAAAGGTGGGGAAAAAAATTGACACGCACGCACACGAATGGTGGTGGAGACGGCGGTTGTCTGAGAGTGGGGGGGGAATGAAAAATAAATAAACGGCGAGGGAAAAAAAAAGTAAAAGAAAGAAGGAATGCTTATACGCGGCGGCGGACGCGCTTTTACATACTTACACGGAGTTTCCAAACAAGGAGGAACGGACAATTTGAACGGCCGGCACAAAGCGGGAACTGATGATAAGCCTACATTTTGTTGTCGACCTCGTTCGTTCCGTTGTGCGCTCGCGTTCGCGTCGTCGCCGTGGCCCGTGATGTACGCGCTCGCTCGCCGGCAGCCGCCGCAGTACCGTCCTCACCCCTCCTCGTCATCGATGGCGGCCGCCGAGTCGTTATATTCCGTGGTACCGGTTGCCCGGCAACCAAGTGTACTAGGCAAGCGGGTAGAAGGAACGAGAATGACGGGAGAGAATGGGAGAGAGCGAGAAGGCGATACCGTCGGGTCGGACGCCGCGCAAAGCGAACGGTCGGGTGCGTGTGCGTAGAGGCGAGAGAATCCCCTGGAACGTTGGCGGCAGCGAGTACCCCTGTTGTTAGCTGGCTGACGAACGCTGTTCGGCCAAACCGAAAATGCGTTGATGTACGGCGGCTCTACTTCTCTTCTCCTCGCTTGATGTGTCATGTGTTTGTGCTTGTGAACGTGGGACGGCGCCCGTTAGTGCGTGCGTGCGTCGGAGTGGGTGTGTGCTGGGTGATGTTGCGCGACGGCGGCGGCAGTGCGACGAAAATCAATGAATTTTATCCGAATAGTCCTCTGAGCGACGCCGCCGTCCCCGCCAGTCAGGTCGGCGAAGGGAAAAATATTTGTCGGCCTAAACAATTATTTGAATTTCGCCGCCTGGTTTTGAGAAACAACCATTCGTGGTGCCGTGTATTTCGAATGCGTGTTCCTAGGACGCAGTGTATTAACTGATAACCGGCAAACGTATTGATATGGCCTATGTGACATGATAAATTAAAATCTTATTATTTTAATCGAAATACGATGATAGAATGATGATACTATCGATACCATTGTCACACATTTTATTTAGAGGCGTCTTAAAACCTTTTGTATTGTTTAATTTTAGAATTTTTCTATTTGGAAACCAATAATACTCTTAAAATATGTATGTAAAATTATCATTACGCCTTGATTGCGTAATGTTTATTGGAGTTCGTATGTATACAATATCTCATACATTTTTAGAGTATTAATGTGTCTTCCAAAAAACCTCGCACTTCAAAAAGTATTTTGAAATTTGATAACTCTACATTAAGTTGTAGTTGTATACTAATATTGATTGTATTCTCATAAATAAATTACATTCCTATTATCTATAAATTGTTTTATTATGTCCGAAAATATTAGCATCCAGAGACGAAAATGATATACGATCTGTGACAGTGGCGTAAATAAGGGAGGGCCTAGTGGGCTACAGCCCCCCCGAAATATTTTAAAAAACTACAAAATTATATTAAACGTATATTATATTTAAATGGTGCATTATGCTTATTTAGAATTTGCGTCCGACATCAAATCGTTTTGGGACATTCTGTAAATGAAATGTAGATAAGTACCTACTGTGTCTTGTTAGTAATTCTTAGATAGCAGTGGTAATTTAACTCTGTCCATAGTAACCCCTCTCGAAAATATTTTCTGTATACGCCACTGATCTGTGACCGGAAATTACTCTGATCGATGGAAAGAATAATTTTATGCTATATCAAAAATGCACTGCATGCATTTAAAATAGCTTAAAATAACTTAAAAATTTAATCATTTTTAAGTTATTATTAATTTTAAATGGTACTTATCTAATGAACGTTTATTTTTCGAATCATCTTAAATATACTACATAAATAATCTTATCTTGATTGAACGACCGATATAATAAATTGTTCACACATTATTTTTAGACAAACAGTTTGTCGCGTACTTATTAGAAATTTTCACAGGCTGAGGAGGGTGCATATGGGTTTTTTCGATTAGCACATTTGAACTATTTTAATATTTTTCAAAAACCGGATCGTCCATAACGAATGTTTTATCAGTAAAATTGAAGTTTTGTACAAGTTTTTACATTCTGAAAAAATCCGGCTCGGACCATAATAGATTTAAAAAATTAAGCTAAATTTAGCTCGGGATTCGTGTTTCATTGAAATAAAGCCCGGCTCTGTCTGGATTTAAATTTTAAGGGCCTGACCCATGCAGGTATTTAGTATTTATATTGTAAGACAATACAGAATTATTTTATAACTACTAAACAATATTAGTATAAACCAATATTTAATGTAATAATAACAAGTTATGATAAATAATAATTCTAGAATAATAAAAATATGTTTTTGATGCATATTTTTGCATATATTGGCAAATAAAATGCTTATTATACAATTTTTTATTGCATATAAATCTACCCTAGTTATAAATCTATCTATTTCGATTATGTATACACATTATTGTAAAAAACCTTATACGAATAAAAACGTTTATATAAAATATATTTAAAAAGTGAAGTAATATATAACATACAAAATGAATAGCAATTAAAAAAATCATTATAAAAAAGTTTTATTACGTTAATAAAGATAAATATATTTCTCTGAACAAATTTAAAATAATTTACCTTATTATTCAGAATTAGATGTTTACATACATCAAAGTAAAAAGATAACAATAATAATAAATGCTGTTTTCTTGCTTTATTTTTATCCAAGTATCAATCCCTATTGATGTAAATGTTACCACAGTTTGAAAACTTTAAATAAATAATTTTATTTGGCAATTAATAATTTTAAAAATGCGCGGTCGTATGTTTATACTTAATAAATAATGATGTGATGGTTATTTTTTTTTTGTATAAGCTGAATATATTAATAAATATAAGTGTTTTAATTTATTTTTTGAATAAATAACAAAGGTTAATCCTACTTCGATAACTGTCTGACACCATCTGGACAAAGTCCGGCCATGTACGTGCCATTATCTACTTGTAAAATTGTGACAATTATTTATATTTTTTTGAAACCATAAAAAAAGGGGTGACCAAGTTAAAAATGTTATGTTTATCTTTATTCTAATTTAGAGTATGGCTATTTAGTTTTTTTTTTATATATGTTTGTTAGAAAAACATTACGTATATAAAAAGTCGTGATACCATTGATTATAGTATATTATTTTTTAATTATATTATAAATGGTATTACTAATGAGTAGAAAAAAAAAGTTTACACACGCTAAAAAAACAAATTGCAATGGTATAAATCTGAATATGACTAAATTCAACTGTGTAGATTTTCCATAGTTTTTTTAATTAATTTTAATTAAGATACTGTAGTACAGTAGATTTAATATAGGTATAAGAAAAAATGGGTTACGGTTTTAATAAGAAATGTATAAACATGAAGCAAACGATTTTATTGTTTTCTATAATTTGTAGATAATCTTCCAGTATCCCGAATGCCCATCTAATAGTATTTCATAGTAAACATATCTGTATTGTATTAAAATGTTATTTAAAACATATATAAATAAATATACTTGGAAATGTAGATATCATGTTAAATGTTTAAAATTTAATTAAATTAAATTTTTAAATTAGCAAGAATTATCTTGATCCCTCTAAAAATTAAATTCTACAGATTATCGAAATTTCAAAAATTGGCTAGTATTACCCTCGATACTATTTTTTCAAATATATTTTTAACTAATCTGTAACTGTAACCCTTCAGTAGGTACATCAATTTTTGTAACACCACTAGGCTCCTCTCTATAAATCAATGGCCACAATTAGAATAAATACAATACAATTTATAAATGAATAAAAATTAATTACGCACAAACAATATATGTGACACGAAAATAATAAAGATAGTTATAGTCGTAATGACTTTTAAGATGTTAACATCATTTTGGATAAATACGAGTACAGATCGTATAAATAAATATCAAAACAATTACAGGATTACTATACTGCCCGAATTAATTTGTTTAGTTGTTTATTTATAAGTATAATAATAATAACCCATTTAATAATATTAAATATATAATAATAACCCATTTCAGTTCCTAGCAAACACGAAAAAAATAATTTTAATATAATAAATATTATAATTCAAATTATTGAACTGAGTAATTTAAATGTATATGCCAAGAAAATATTAGTTATATCTAAATAACAATGTTATAAAAAACTGATTTCAGTTTCACTAAAAAGTTAGCTTTGTAACATATAATTAATAAATATAAATATTAGTTATCACAAATCTTAATTATCATATAATGCACATTACATATTTTAATTTCCTGTAATTACATATTATGTTTCAGGTAAATTAAGACAAGATTCTTATGGTATAAATAATATTTATTACTAGAGCGTGGATTTAAATGCATTTGCATATTTATTCAGGATGGTCGTATGAGATGCTAAGTTAGCTCATTTGTTTCATGACATAACGATTTAAACAATTAGACTTTTTTAGTGTATAAATTTCCATATTTTGACATTTACCCAATTTTTTATTTTAAGGTCTTGTCTAGTTCATAATTGGATGTTTTTTTTAAAAAAAAAAGATTTTCGAAATATACATTAGGTATTGTATTATAAAGGTCTATCTATTTATAAAAAAAAATGTAGAAAATATATTATCCAAAAACGAAGGTTAAGACACACTTACTAAAATATTACAAATGTTAAATAGTAAAAATGAATTAATTTAAATTTACGATTTAACTTAAAATTATATTTTATTTCTAAAAACGCACCTATTACTTTTTTGTAGCCCCTATTTTTCATAAAAATTTGTACTACACATTTTCAACGTACAATGATATGATAAAGAGCCCCCCTCTAAACCACTTCCTATGATTATAATTTTTAGTAATAGGTTTTTTTTATTAATCAAATTGCACATTAAAGTAAAAATATATTTAAGTCTGTTATAAATCTGAAAACTACTAACAAATTATTTATGTCAATGTGGGATATATAAATTAAAATGTAATAGATATATTTAAGTCCTCATCAGTTGTCTTGCTTAAACAGGCTTCTTGAAATATCTTCATAGTAGTCTTATTTATTAGTACTTAGTTGATACACACTTCTCGAATCCGTA